TAGAAAGCGATAACCTCATTCTTTCCAAAGGCAATATTGTTTGGAACTGCGTCTTCTTGAAGAGCAAATCTTCATGTCCACTATAGCTCTCATCACCCTCGCACTCTTCGTCCGTTATGCCAAGCCTGAACCTTTATAAATTAGTCTTTCTCAACGCACAACATAGTAGAGCATTAAATAACTTACGTTGGCATGGTTGGCGGCACGAACACGTCTAGAGCAGAGCCTGTTGAATAACTGGTTCAGCTCCTGCATGAGCGGCCAGTTAAAGTGCTCCAATCAAAGCCAGTTTGCAAGGCTAACTCGTCCATGATTTCTGGGATTACAACTTGTTGCTCGAGAGACAACGATCCCCTGTACTTTATCGGAGAGGGGACAGACAGCTAGTGCACTTGTTGCACTCTGTGGCCGAGATGCTCCGCATTGAAACCTTGCACCCATTTGCTAATGTCTATTAATTCCTTTACATTGTTTAGCACTTGTAGCGGTAATTGTGTGTTATTTATCTTGTTTCGCAATAATTGTCACTAAATTTAGGCTCTAGACGTGGTACGGGACGCCCCTTGTTCATGGCGTCTCGAAAATCGGTTGATAAAATATGTGCATCTTTAGCTAGCCAAACACCGAAGACAAGGAAGAATAAAGCGTCTAGAAGTGAGTTCTTTAGACCCCTGTCCGTTCCAAGTGTTACTGTGAAATGTTACTTTTCAAGAGAGGCCGGCCCCGGTTGATGAAGAACTGTTGGAAGAAGATTTTCATGAAAAGCCAGATTCCGATGAAGTTTGTTTTCTCGAATGCTATTCATTTTGTTGTCTGTTTTCGATTTTGAAGTTTGTTTGATTGATGGGACCGTTTTAGGATTTCCAAGCATCACAGTCGTCAGGGGACACAACTTCTGATATTGAGCTAAGCGATAATGATATGGAAATCGATGAGGAGCATAGTGCCCAACCAGGAACTTCAAAAGCTGTGGCTGCAGCGTATGAAGTGGTACGCTTCGTTTCCATGAAGTACTATGGCTATATTATCCTTCAGTTTGTTGGATGTTTCCTTTTTGACCTCCCAGTTGGAGCTGTCAGAGTGTGCTTATTGGTGATTTCACCTGTTCATCCAACCAGAACTATACTATTTTGTACCTCCTGAATCTGATTGTCCAGTACTCTGTCGGTGGAAGGCTTGTTTGGCCGAGGGAGGGATCGATACAGCGGCACGTGCAAGCGCAAAACGATAGCACTAGCTACCGCGCTACCTGTGCTTCAACTGTTTGAAAGTTTTTGGGTTGATTTCTTGAATGAGGACTATTATTATTTCGTTCAGTTGTTTTTATCGGACTTTCTGGGTCCTACAGTCTATACCAGTTCGCCAGCTTCTCTGTTTAAACTACTACCACCACTCTATCGTGTTACGGAGCGCAGTTGAGTCTTAGATAGTCGAGAGGATTAAGATTCATTGGATACGATCCATAGTTCT